ATTACAGTTAGAGATTCTGTTTCCTCTCGAACTTATTCCTCTTCCTCCAGATTCTCTAGAAATATAGCATCTTTGCTTTTAATGACCCCTTTTTTTTATTGTAGAGCTTATAACCTTTTGACTCTTCTGAATACCCTATGAATCTACACTTTATTATTTTAAAATTTAACTTATCTCTAAGTTGATATGGAATGAGAACATAGGATATAAATCCCCACTTCCTGAGATAACTGAGATTAGGTTTCCTTCCATTCCATAATTCATAAGGTATAGGTACAATTGATTTGGTGAGAATTCTATTTAGAATATAGTTTGCAGTTAACAATGTTTCTCCCCAAAAGTTTTTAAAAAGACCAGAATAAGATAACATGCATCTAACTACATTCAGCAATGTTCTGTTCTTTCTTTCAGCAACACCATTCTGTTATGACATATACGACATTGTTGTATACTTTTTAATTCCATACTAAATATAATAACTCTCAAATTCTTTTAGAGTTATATTCCCCACCTCTATCAGTTTTTAAAATTTTAATTTTTATTTCGAGTTGGTTTTTGACTTTTGTCTTATATCTCTTAAAGCAGTTAAGAGTTTCTAATTTGCTAGATATAAGATAGACGTGTAAAAACTAAAAATAATCATCTATAAAAGTAATAAAATATTCTTTATTATTATGAATTTTGACACTTAGGGAACCACAAATATCCCGAGTGTATCAACCCTAAAAATTCATTGGTTCTTTGTCCGCCAATAAAAGATTTTCTATTATTTTACCAGTTAAACAATGTTCACATGGTGGCAATTGAACATTAGATAGTGTAGAAATTAAGTTCATTCTGATAATTTCTTTTATTTTTGAAATACTAGTATGTCCTAGTCTAGAATGCCACAATTCAGAATCTAAAATATAACAGGACAAATAGTTCAAATTTAAAATTTTGTTAACAGAATTATTACAAACTACTGGAAGAATACATAATTCATGCTCGAACACATTTTTCCCATAACATACACTTTATTACTTTTTCCTATAGGAACTTAGTTATTGTAGAACCTAACTTTCAGTTCTTTCTTCATCAAGCTAGGAACAGAAATCAGATTGCGCTGAATTCCTGGTACATAGAACACATCTTTGAGGATAAGAATATTGTTCCCAAGATCCAATCTATACGAACTAATACCTTCTACATCGAGATATGTATAATTTTCCATATAGATTCTCTGTTCTCCTTTCTTCAGCTCGGTAAATTCTGTGACTCCATTCTTATCCTTTGTGATATGTCTAGTCGCACTGGAGTCGATTCACCAACTGCTGATATCTGTCATCATAGCATTGCAATCCGTCACACCGATGAATTCTCTTTTACTAGTACCCCTTATTCTAGATGCTTATATAGTCTCCCTTATTCTCCTGTTTTTTACCTTGCGGGCAATTAGGCTTGAAATACCGAACTTTTCATAATTATAGCAGGCTTCGCTGGATACTTTCTTTCTCTTGAACTGCTATGATTTCGATCCTCACGGTTGAAGTTTGTTAGAACCAGGGTTTTTATAGCTTCCAGTATTATGCCTCTGACGGACATAATTCAGCTCTCGTTGCACCATATTCAGTTCTAGTTCTTTTCTACTGACTATTAAATCATGTTCTATCGCCAGGTGCATAGAAAGATCAGTGACAGATTTAATAGTAGGATTCATTCTTAATGTGGTGGCAGTTACAACAAGGAAAGAAGTTACAACAAGGAAAGAAGGAAGACTATTCAAAATGATTGTCACTTGCATTCTTTTCGAGATTTCGATCTCAGCAGTAGATAAGTCCTTAGCCATGACAATCATATTATTTATATGCTCTACAACATTGTCTTCCTCTTGCATGATAATAATTATACTTATGCAAGAGGAGTTAAATGTTAACTTCAAATGCGATATCGTATTTCTATTTTATAGCATTCCACATGTCCATAGAAGTCTAAGTTTCAAAAACGTTGATTAAGTTATCTTCCATGAACATGAACATTAAGCTTTTTACCTTTTTATCTTTCGATTTTCACTGTTCAAACCCTTTTTTTCTTCGGGTATAAATTTTTCAGTAAGGGTTGGAACAGTGATTTCGATTACATCATCGATATTGTCATGAATAAGAGCATAACCTTTTTTTATGCCACATGTCATAATTATTGTCATTAAATTTGTTAATTTTTTCTAGTTCTGATAGAACAAGTTTACTAGCCATTCGGTAGAGAACTAAAACTAAAATCTAATTTTAAAATATGTGTGAGGTTGGTATACTAAAAATAGAATAAAGTTAGATAAAAAATAAATTAATTAATTAAAAGAACCTAATTCTTGTGAATTGAGAAAGGAAGCTCTAAGTAGAGCGAGATCATCACTAAATGGCGTTGATCGAATGATCACTTGTCGAAGTTTTGGCGCCGTGAGGGCGAGTCACCTTCCCCAGATGCAGCGATAGTGGGACCCGTCGGCCTTAACCTTGGCCTTGTAGATGTAGGCAAGGCTGGATGTAGAGGTTGGATGTAGAGGCTAGATGTAACATTGGCCTTGTAGATGTAGGCAAGGCTGGATGTAAAGGCTGGATGTAGAGCATATAAACAGTAGGCTAGATCGGCCTTAACCTTGGCCTTATAGATGTAGGCAAGGCTGGATGTAGAGGCTAGATGTAGAGCATATAAACAGTAGGCTGGATGTAGGGGTTAGATGTAGGCCAGCTGGATGTAGAGGCTAGATGTAGGCTGGCTGGATATGTGACAAGGAGTAGGTCAGGCTATGAATTGGCTCCTGGTTGTCATGATCTAGGACAAAGAGTAGGATAGGTGGAGTAGGCTATGAACAAAGAGTAGGCTAGCCAGCGGGATTTGAAGAGTAAGCTAGCTGGATTAAGAGTAGGCTATGAACAAATATTTATTACAAAGAGTAGGCTAGCTGGATGAGCTTTATGGCTAGACCTCAACAAAGAGTGCTTCTTCTTCAAAGAGTGGGCTAGCTAGATGAACAAAGATTTATGACAAAGAGTGGTTGGCAGACCTTAACAGAGAGTGCTTCTTCTTCAAGAAGTTGGAGAGAGTGTGTGCTTCTTCTTTGATAGGAAAAATTGCAGTGGGATTTGAAGATGATGGAGAACCTTCAGCTCTGATACAAATGTTCGCCTGTAGAGAAGAAGAGAAAAGAACGACGAATTTCTTTGAGGGGCTCCAGTAACAGGTAGAGGATTTGATTTTAATTTTGTGTTGTTTTTCTCAAGGAGAACGCTCCTTTTATAGGGACCAAACCCATCATCTTCACCCCCTCATAACCGTCCCTGAGAGATTTTCTCTCAACAAACCCATTTCCCACATTTTCACGTTTTTCACAACTTTTCCATGTTTCTCTCAACTGAAGAATGTTGATTTAGTCACACAAGACCGAGTTAAGGTAACAACATTCACACCACACAACATAAACTCTTATCTGTTTGATGTCTTTAATATCATATTCATACTGATTCCTATTTCGTTTGATGTCTAGTGAAGAAGATCATTATATTCGTTATCAATCAACCCCTTTGATTCAGTTTCATTTTTTTTTTTTTGAACCAGGCCACTAGTTTAGACTTTTCCTCTAAGGGCCTGTTTGTTTGCCTTAAAAAAAATTGAAAATCAAAGAAATGGAAAACTATTAAATCAAAGAATTGTTTTGGGGGTGTTTTGTTTGCTAAAAAAAGAAGGAAATCAAAGAAATGAAGATGAGTTGTCACCTTATTATAGGATGATGTGAGTGATTTTTTAAGAAAACTTGTTTTGATGTTGTTTGGTTGGCGAAAAAACAATAAAATAAATTATAAGAAACCTATTTCTTGTAATAGGTTGTTTTCTTTTGCTTGGTTATTTCTTAAAAATAAGAAAATATATGAGATGAGATGAGTTGTCATTATATTATTGGATGATGTGACCCACACTTAAGAAAATTATTTTCCTAGCTTTTTGGGAGGAAAACGAAAAAATGAAATGTTAATGAGATGAGATGAGTTGTGACAATCTTATTGGATGATGTGAGTAATTTTTAAATATGAGATGAGATGAGTTGAGTGATGTTGTGGATGAAAATAATATTTTATTAGATGTGGTGGATGTCATGGATGAGTTGTTGGATGAAAATAATATTTTATTAGATGTGATGGATGGAAATTATTTTCCTAGCTTTTTGGGAGGAAAACAAAGAAATAAAATGTTAATGAGATGAGATGAGTTGTCACAATCTTATTGGATGATGTGAGTAATTTTTAAATATGAGATGAGATGAGTTGAGTGATGTTGTGGATAAAAATAATATTTTATTAGATGTGGTGGATGTGATGGATGAGTTGTTGGATGAAAATAATATTTTATTAGATGTGATGGATGAGTTGTTGGATAAAAATAATATTTTATTAGATGTTTTGGGTGAGTTTTAGGGATGGAAATGTGTGAAATTGTACTTTTTGAGTTTACTTGGTTTGCATTTCTATTTTTTTGTTTTTTAGGAAATAACCAAACAGTCCCTAACCCTCGTGGATTTGCATATACCACTTGGAGAAATAGCACCAGGTGAAGCCGACAAACCTTATTTTAACAAGCAGGTTTCTTTCAAGTAGGAGCCCGCTCCTATTCACCTTCCACCTCAGCCGGTAACTCATCTCAGCTTTCCTGTGTTTTAACAAACCTCATGCTTAGTCTATTTTATCACTTGAATTTGGATCTCTTGATAATTAACTTTTGCTCTTTCATAGGTAAATGTAGAATGAAGTAGGATTATGACAGGAACACCCTCACAGATATTTCACTTCATTAAACCGTGATGTTTAAATAGCACAGTCCTTGAATTTGGATCACGTGATTATTAATGTTTTCTGCTTTCATAAATAAAAAACTAATAAACTTTAATTACACTATAAAAAGTCACATTTTCTCCAAAGATTTAATAACACAACTAGTCAAGAAACTTAAATTTAACAAGCATTCGTTACCTGAGATGAAGAGTTACGGAATGGTTCAATCTCAGATGAAGACAGAAGACTTTCCTTAGTTGTCAATTTAGGATATAGGCTTTTCAATGCAGCCATTCTTGATTTCCCTCCATAAATGTCAGCACCTGCTATGTATACCCTTGTCTTGCGCTTGAAACCAAGAGCAGCGAGCATAAGCACTGCTTCTTCAGGTGTGAGAGGACACTTCCCATCAAAACGTAATACAGAAGCAGGAGGTATCCTATAAGAAATATGAAGAAACATAAACATGCATTGCAATAGAAATGAATTCTTGAAGTTTAGGTGCATGAACGTAGATAAATGAAAGTTAAGGGACAGGCAATAACCATGTATCACTGGCATATTCACACTGACATAACCTGCCAAGCATGCATGACCAGTGCAATATGAGAGCGGAACTGCTTACCTGGAGCTCTTCTTGAGAAGTGTTAATGCCGGAAAATGAACAGCTCGGTACGCTTCTAGCTCCTCTTCTTCTTCTTTGCCACCACCAAAATAACACATCGAGTACGCAACCATGTCAATTTCAAACCTGACATGCATAGCTAAATATCTGGGTGCAGATGTCAACTTATCCTTTTCTCCCTTTGTATTTGACTCTACTGCAAATGGACCTAGCAAATTCTGCTCCAAGGATCTTGGAAGTGATCTATGACGGCGCATTCTTTGTATAAGCAAGGCACCGCCTTTTTGTATTGATTCAACAAATTGTAGTGCATGAAAGTTGCATCTGCATCGAAGCCTCTAAATAGTATTTCCAGTTAGAAACAGAAATGAACATACATTTAGGCCAAAGAAGCAAAATACAAGTAAAGAGTTCACCAGGATATAAGTCTCAAATAAATAGATGGATAAAATCTGAGAGCTAAACATCATGCCAATGGCTAGGGCACATATGCTGGCTGGGTCAAAAGTTAAAAAGACAAATGATTAACACATATTATCTGTGTAGAAATTTCTTCAAGTCCCTTTTGCTAAAATCCAATTTATGCCTTTAGGGAGCCATGCATTTCCCTTGTGAAATAAACCTAAATAAAGTTTCCTTTCCTCTAGCTCTTGACATTCTGTCTCAAGCCTCTTTCACCATGCACTTTCCCTCTAAAATAAGATCTCTATGATGGATACTAAGCTACAAGCAATATGAAGCTACAGCCAAATATAATTACCATGCTCAGATGCATGCCTGCTCATGGAGTATGAAATTTAGCTCTAATAGGCCTATAAGAAGACAATACAAACTAGCATTTACGTACAAAAGTAGATAGGCTAAGACGACTCGGTGATAAGACCCTAACCCTATACTAGAGGAAATTTTTCCCCCCGGGTTGGGATAATTAGAAGGAAGGTGTTGGGGCTCTGGGAGCTCAGGTTCCTATAGTGACCCTATAGCCACCCAGACTAAAACCTGAAACTCGCCTGAAATGGGAAGTACGGATTCAGGCAAGGTTCAGCTTCATCAGAATCCATGCATGTTAGTGTACATGTAACTAAATGGGAAGTACGGATTCAGGCAAGGTTCAGCTTCATCAGAATCCATGCATGTTAGTGTACATGTAACTTACAAGACCAGGAACTAGTATAATGAATTAGCATGTTAGTGTACATGTAACTTACAAGACCAGGAACTAGTATAATGAATTAAATTATAAAAGCATAAGGTTTTTGGGCTTTCTAACATTCAACGTTATGGATATATCCATGTAATTCTACATAATTTATTTAACCAAAGTATAATACAGTTGTGCATTATGTGATCACGGACCTGAAGTGCAATGAAAATATATATTTCAATTTTGTTCATTCATCATACCCATAAACTTGTTTAAAATCAAACTGCTACACAGCCCACAATAACAGGCCAAAAGTAGGCTAGCAAAAATCACAACTCTAAAATTGACTAGGAATGTATTTTACATACATCTCAATTCGAGCAGCAAAAAAGTTTGCCTTAAAAACTGATTTAAGAGGCCAATCAAGTAGCTGGGGAAGCAGTCTTATCTTCCAATCAAATAGCTAGGGAATCAATCTCATCTGACAGACATTTAGTATTGAAGATTATCAGTCGCCAGGATCACGCCTTCATCGATCAATCTTTTTAAAAAGTTTAGCTATCTACAATTCAGAATGCCTATTTTTTCATGAAAAAAAAACATGTACAGTTGACTAAGAGCCAATAGCTCAGACAGCTTATATAACAATGTAAAGTCGGGAAATAACTCAAACTGCATCCACAGAAGTGAACAATGCTGGATAAGATGTCTCATGCTAATCATCTGATTGAGAAAATTCATAATTAACTTCAGATGAATGACACTGGACATCACACAAATTTCCGACATATGGAAAGTCATCGAGTGCTGCTCAACTTTATGACAACATGTCAAGTTTTACAAAGGAGTTGAGATATGCATTATCATCTCACTGTAATGGCTTGTTTACCTAACGCTGAACAAGTAATTACAGACTTGTATTTGCATTCTCTTTTAACAGTAAGTTATTCTCTCCACAGCATAAAAACTTATGTATCTCTTTTATTATCCTTTAGGTCACCGAGCAAGATGAAATATGCCAAACTCGCAAATCGTACCTCTCTTGTTGGCTATTCCATTTTCTTTTCCAGTGGCAAACTAATTGAATGGAGATATTGATCTTTTCCATTATTTTATTAAAGGATCATTCCAAGGATATATAGCAAGAAGATACTTTGTGTCAACAAGATCTGCTTACCAACCCTAACTTTGGGACTCAAGAGGACTACTGCATTGTCAAACAAGAGTCTCCAATCTCAGCACTGGTAAGTCCTATTCGGCAGCGAAAATGTGTGTATTTGAAGGTACCCAAGATACCAGCCCATACCAACAGAATGCACAGTCTACCAAAATATATATGGAAACGTCTTTCCCTTCATGTTGGTCATGATGAATATCTTACAGTTTATGTAGTCTGTCATTTCACAGAGGTCCAAAAACACAAGCTTTTATCTATGAACTTATTAGGCAGAAACCTTTCATCATGGTATCAGATAACACGAGCACTTCAGAGAGTTTCTAGTGGAAGAAAAGCATGGTCAAAGTAAAAGTCTAGTTAGTAAAAACATGACAATACAATTAACATAGACTACATGATGCTGAGAAGCCACCACTAATACTCAGCAAAAACTTAGTCAAAGTAAAGGTCTACTTAGTACAAGATTAAAAGAGAAATTCAGAAAGATTTTAGTGCAAGAAAAGCATGGGCAGATTTAGAGGTCTACTTAGTACAAACACGTAAATATAAAATTAACATTGACTACATTATGATGTGAATCCCCTGCTGATACTCAGTAAAAACACGTAAAAGGAAAGGGGGAATCAGAAGTGGCTCTTCCTCTTTGAAATAATTTAACAGGAAAGTTCCAAACAACAGAATTCTTATATTACATTGAAACTAAGTTTGATCCTAATAAATGTTACATACCTGCAACTCATGCGGAATGGGGTCAAACGCTAAGCGATTTCCAAAACCGGTAAAATGGACAACCCTATTTTTCAGTAATATGGGCAGAACCTTTTTCAGGTAAAAGCTTGGCTTTGCCTCTTTCATGACTTCGTTATCCGTCACCTAAAGAAAACATTTCCATAAATCAGATTTGCAGATTATTACAAATTTAAAACAAAGTGAATGGTCAATTTTAAATATGATAACATTCATATAAACTATCTGGTAATATGTATACTTACAAGACTGCCAATTGCCTCTAAGTCTAATGATCTTAGTTCCACGGGAAGCTCCTTAACAATCTGAATATCAGCTTTCAACACACTGATAAAATGATCCTCCTGATATATAGCGCTGAACTGGCTAAGATATAGAATTCACTAATGTCACTTTCTTTACCTTAATATTGTAGAAAAAGAGGTTTTATCATGATTTTCTAAAGGCTTACTCATAAATCCCTCTTGGACCTATCCAAATAAAGTAAAAATATTGTAGCAATGAGAGTTACACGTTGGCGTTTGAATTAATGAAAAAATAACAGAACTTCATGTAAACCTAGCATTCATGTCTTGCCTCGTGTCATGTTGGAGGTCTGTGTTCCAATTTCGTAGCTCTGTTTTCAGTTATAGAAGAGATTTAGCAGTTTGATTATTTGAAGAGGAAACTTGCATTCGAATTTACAACAACAACAAGGACAAGCTGTTCTAAACCTTATGGAGTTAACCTAAATTATCTTTATACATCCAGGATTGTTTACTGTCATCTCATCAGGTTGAATTAGCTGAAATATATTCTCTTTTACCAACTCGATCCATGTTCATTTTAGTCTACACTTTACTCTTAACCTAGCCTCGCTTCAGTTATTTCATTTTAGTCTACACTTTTAGTCTTAAATAACCTAGCCTCCCTTGAATTATTTCATTTTAGTCTACATAGTCTTAATCTAGCCTCTCTTCAACTGTTACATGTTTGCCACTCGTGTATGTTTCACGCCTGAACCATCTGAAGTGATTTCACAACTTATACACCTATAATTTTTCTTTCAAATGCAGTCAATTTTCAATCTCCCATGACAAGTACCAAATATGCTTGCAGAGTATTAAGAGGTAACCACAGGTAGCTCAAATTAAAAAAATATATTGTAAGATTGAGAATAATTAGATAATCTTGCTACATTCCAAAGAAGTACTACGCCCAACTTGGAGACAGCCTCATGCTAGAATTGTCTATGTTACACAAATTAAACAGCGACCTTCGACTGAGCCAAAAGCTTGATCAAAACCTGAAGAAAGCCTTATAAGAAGAGATTTTTCCTTGTGTTCTATACACTTATTATGTTTCCATTAAAAACCTAGCCTTTCTTCAGCTGTTGCTTAAGCACTTTCCAACATGTAGTTGTCATTAGTGCCCAATCAAATTACCCTCTCATCACAAGGGGTTTCCATCTACAGTTATTCTTTACTGTCTTCAATTTGTATGCTATTCCAGTCTCAGCACAAATCCATGGATGTATTCAGAATTACTTACAAGTCAAGCATAAGGAAAGGCATATCTTCTCCAGGCACAGTTATAAGAAAATAAATGCTTCAGAAAAACATGTAATAAACTATATCAGGCAGCCTTACACATCAAATTTCCCAAAGATAAGACTTCTGCATGTACTGTAAATACTTTCAGTTATTTGTATTTTGAATAAATTTTGAACTTGGCATCTAATTTGCTGATAACAACCATAATCTAGCCATGGCCGTTGACGTGTTGTATCTGTTTATTCACATCTATTATGGTAGTAACAACGAAATATGCCCCAAACAAGCAACTACCATCGGAATATCGATGTTAACTGCTACAATAAGCTTCTAAGAAAGCATTCATGTAAACAAAGGCATGAAATTTTTTAAGAGACAAGGAATTTACCTTTCATCTTTCCACACATTACTGTGCAAAAATTTTGGAAGAACAAGAGTAGCATTGAGCAGTCGAGAAATAGCAACAGCATTGCAGATCTGCATGCATAATTTGAAACAGCCAAGAACTAAATGAAGGTGGAACTAAAAGAAATGAAACCTTGGTGCATAAACCTAGAATATGAACAAACCAGACACAAATTGAGCAGTTTAAGAACGACAACATATTGCACGTCTGCAAATGAAGTTGGAAACAAAACCAAAGCCATCAAAAGGATCTTCCACTTGTAAGAGAACTCAATCCAACTTCATTCAAAACCATTAACAGAAATCAATCCTAGTTCACTCAAAGTCATCAGCAGGATCTTCGAGGCTATAAAATGAGCAATATAATGTGTTGAAAATTTCTTCAGCTGTGGATAGAGTCATCTCTACTACTATAGAAAAAACGGAGTAGGGGTAGCAAAAAGTTTGAAGGAATGGGCATACTCCCCTTTCGTCTAATGAGGGTAATTTGGCCATTTCACACTATCATCATTGATGTGGATTTTTTTACCTTTCCTTTTCACCTGACCTAAGTCTCCTTCCCTCCCCTCTCTTCTTCTCTCAAATTC